TATCTATCTATCTATCTATCTATCTATCTATCTATCTATCTATCTATATGTATGATTTTTTTTCCCTCCAACTACCCTAATACTGACAAAAGTCTCATGAGTTACAAATATCTATCCATGAAGGAATGTAAACAGTTCAACTTTAATAAGTCCCTTTCTCTTTCCTGTTTACCTTTTCACGCTTCTTTTGCATCCTGTATTTGAAAGTCGAATTTTCTATTCATCTCTGGTCTTTTCATCAAGAATACTTGAAAGTCCTCTATTTCACTGAATGTCCATTTTTTCCCCTGAAGGATTATACTCAGTGTTGTTGGGTAGGTGATTCTTGGTTATAATCCTAGGTCCTTTGACCTCCAGAATATTATATTCCAAGCCCTCTGGTCCCTTAATGTAGAAACTGCTAAATCTTGTGTTACCCTGATAGTGTTTCCATAATACTTGAATTGTTTCTTTCCGGCTACTTGCGATATTTTCTCCTTGACCTGGGAGCTCTGGAATTTGGCTACAATATTCCTAGGAGTTTTCCTTTGGGGATCTCTTTCAGGAGGTGATTGGTGGATTCTTTCCATTTCTATTTTGACCTGTGGTTCTAAAATATCAGGGCAGTTTTCCTTGATAATTTCTTGAAAGATGATGTCTAGGCTCTTTTTTTGATCATGGCTTTCAGATAGTCCAATAATTTTTAAATTCTCTCTTCTGGATCTATTTTCCAGGTCAGTTTTTTTTCTAATGAGATATTTCACATTGTCTTCTATTTTTTCATTCTTTTTTTTTTTTTTTTTTACAATGTCTTGATTTCTCATAATGTAACTAGCTTCCAATTGCTCCATTCAATTTTTAAGGAAGAATTTTCTTTAGTGAGCTTTTGGACTTCCTTTTCCATTTGGCCAGTTCTGCTTTTGAAGGCATTCTTCTCCTCACTGGCTTTTTGGACCTCTTTTGCCATTTGAGTTAGTCTATGTTTTAAGGTATTATTTTCTTCAGTATTTTTTTGGGTCTCCTTTAGCAAGCTGTTGACTTATTTTTCATGATATTCTTCCATCACTCTCATTTCTCTTCCCAGTTTTTCCTCTACTTCTCTTACTGGCTTCTCAAAATCCCTTTTGAGCTGTTCCAAGGCCTGGGACTGATTCATATTTTTTTCTTGGAGGCTTTGGATGTAGGAGCTTTGACTTTGTTTTCTTCTTCTGGTTGTATGTTTTGATCTTCTTTGTCACCAAAGAAAGAATCTATGGTCTGACTTTTTTTTTTTGTGCACTGTTTGCTTATGTTCCCAGCCAATTACTTGAGTTTTAAACTGTTTGTTAAGGTAGGGGTCTGCTTCTAGTGTGGAGAATGTACTTTGGGGGTTTTGTGCAGCTGGTTTCAGAGATGCTTCTATGGACCTGTAAATTTTCAGTTTTTCCAAGGTGGTACAATTGAGGGTGAGGGGTTTACTCCTTTCTTGGCCTGGGCTCTGGTCTATAATTGACCACAAGCACTCTTTTCTGCCTTGGAACTGTGAGGAGGATTCCCTCTCCACCACCACCACAAGCTCCACCACGCCAGTGCTCCTCCTCAACCCTAGGACTGCTACCCAGAACTGTGACCCAGAACCAAGCATGGGCAAAGCAAGAGAATCTTGCCTCAGCACCAGCAAAGAGATCTCTGCAATGCCCCTCTGATCAGCTACTGGATTCCCCCTCCATTTGGGGGCTGAGAGCTCCAGAAGCAGCCATCACCCCAGGGCTGTGCCAGTCATGGAGCCAGACTGAGCTCCTCTCTCACTGAGGTCCTACAAAACTTTCCTACTGATGTTCTAAGTTGTTTTTGGGTTGAGAAGTCTCGAAACCACCACAGCTCCCCTTGATTCAATCCCCTGAGGACTACTCCAGGTTCCCTGAGGCCTGGTCTTTGCCTACATGGCCCACACTGAATTGTGCTCCTCTTCCAGCCTGGTGCAGTAGACCTTTCAAATCAAACATCCAGTTTGTCTTGGGCTGGAAATTTGTTTCACTCTGTCTTTTTGTGGGTTCTGCTGCTCCAGAATTTGTTTAGAGCCATTTTTTACAGATATTTGGAGGGGTTTGGGGGAGAGCTCAAGCAAGTCACTGCTTTTACTCTACCATCTTGGCTCCACCCACCATCCACCCCCCCACACACACACCTTCATTCCCCCGGAGATCCGGAATCTTAAGGAAGAAAATGACTCCTTGAAAATTAGAATTGGGCAAGGGGAAACCAGCAAAGTTATAAGAGACCAAGAAATAATAAAATGAAATATAAAAAATGAAAAAAAAAAGAAGAGAATGTGAAACTTCTCATAAGAAAAACAACTGATCTGGAG